ATGAGGGCTTGGATTTAGGGCTCAAGGGCTTCGAGTCTACAGCTTACGGATTGGGATTCAGGATTCAGGGTGAGGAAGGGTTGAGGGTTATGTTTCGCATTTTAGGATACAGAGCTTTCGTGCCGTGTGTGGAGTGTGAAAGAACTGTAGAGGATCTTGGAAAACCGAAACCTACCTGGCCCCCCAAGGTCGTTGGCTTCTCATTCTCGGATCCCTATCATGGACTAGGTTAACTATCCAAGAGGGGTAGTACACTCGAGGGTCTAGATACTGTGGTGTCCAAGCCTGATCTCTCTGGTAGAAATAGGGGGCCTTCGTTGTTAGAATAGGGTTTTTGGGGTTTCGTTAATGCTATGCTTGTTTATGTACTTCTATGAGGCCTTCAAGGAAATAGCTTTCCTAATCTTTGGGCTAAGCCCTAAACCCCAAACCCTAAACTCCGAATAGACGCACCAGGTTGACAGTTTTGAGAGTGATGGAAACGAAGGGGCCCCTGCCCAAAACCGCTTTGAAGAAGGTGTAGGGCTAGAGGGTTTAGGGTTTAGGGTGTGACACCGAAGTTCTCAGGGCATGAGCTTCGGTGTAAACGGTTCGGGGTATGAACTATAAGGTTTCGGTTTAGAGGGTTTGGGGTTTAGGGTTTAGGCCACGAACAAGGGTTATAGTGGTAGAATTGAAACGCTTAAGAAACCCTCAACAATTGGATGGTGATCCGGGTTCCCGTACGGTACGCAGACGTAAGCTCATCAAGATGCTCGCGAAGTGCTTCTCTGCTGCATCCAGTTCTTGTGCTTGCGTTGCCTGCACGAAGTCCGAGCTTATACACTATACTTATAGCAGTTGGTCATCAGAACCCCTAGACAGCGGTCAAGACAGCTTTGCTGAAGGGGGAAATGCTCCTGAAGCAACAAGCAGCACGCGCTTGGACGGCCTAGGGCTCAGCAGACCATTTCGAACGCGCACACACACACACCACTTGTATAGCTAAAACGATTAGTCATTCATGCTGAAGCAGCCATCAGTCCTGCATGCAATGGTGCTTCATCCCCAAGTATGCGCAAAGATGCGCAAGAGGCAACGCCCCCAGCCTGCCTCCTGTGTCTTGACCATGACCTCCCCGGGCCAGGGATCACCCTTCGCGCAGTCCTTCCAGGAGAGGAACGAGAATAACAGCCAGAAATCGTGATTGTCATCCATTTCAACGGAGAACATCGTCGTCTGCAACACTTTTTGTCGGAAATGTCATCACTGCCTGCTTGCAATTGCTTCAGTATGCATCCGACACACTCATCCGAAATGGACAGCTGCAGGGAAACATCTTGTTGCAACACGGAGATCGCGCCAGTCTAGTGGCCGGGAGAATTAGAACAGGGTGTGGATACATTGTAGTATGTGAGAATGGAGCCCTAACAAATAATATTGCTAAGTAGTCAGACTTCTATGTATTGGAAAAAGATATGCTCGCATACCTCTCAGAAAAAAAGGAAATAGAATGGAGACTATAGGTAGCCCCTATACGCCATAAACCACAGGTCTTAATGCCCCTGAGCTCGAGGCGCGAGAGAGCCAGAAACTTCTATATCCCGGGATTGCGGAACATCCAAATACTCTAAACACTATAAACCCTAAGCCCTAAACCCTAAAACCCCACAACTGCCACTCACCTGGGGGCTGAGAAACCGAGCGTGGAACAGCTTAACCTTTTAAGTTATAGTAGGACTTAGTCGGAATTACATAAGCCCAAAAAGTTAAAGTTTACCTACTCAGCCCCGAAGCTCATCATTCTTTTCAGGCTGCCTTGACCCAGGGGCCCTTCTTAAAATGGACTTGGAGGCTCCGCACCCATTAGGGTTTAGGGCTTAGGGTGTGGGGTTTGGGGTTTAGGGCTCAGGGTGTGGGGTTTGGGGTTTAGGGCTTAGGGTGCGGGGTTTGGGGTTTAGGGCTTATAGGGGTTTAGTGGTTTCGGGTTTAGGGGTCTGGGGTTTGGGGTTCAGACACACCCCATTATGAACTACCTGAGCAAGCACGGATGACAAATCCACCTAAACACCCTGATCAACACCCTCATAACCCTAGTAAAGACACGACTGAAGACCCTAATAAGCCCTAAGCCCTAAACCCCGCTAAGATCTGCTGTCTGCTCCTCAGTCAGGCGACGACAACAGGGCTGGACGTCGGAGCAGTACCAGGAGGAGTTCCTGGAGAGCTTCTTTGCCCTGAAGGGTCCTAGGTACCGTTATGGGGGCTACTTCCCCAAATCATACCAGTGGTTCCTACTATAAAAACCCTATACATTCTACTAAACCGGTACTTAGGACCCTGTGGGGTAGGCCTCACGGTGTTTAAGGAGTTAAGGGTTTAGAGTCCAGGGTTTAGGGAGTTTAGGGTCACAGGGTCAAACGACAGGTCTGTGGCTCCTTAAGCTTTTTCATGCACCTTGCATCTTGCTGACCTTGACTGGGCTCTATTGCAGCAGCTTAGGATAGGATTTAGAGTTTAGACTCGTTTAGACCTAGACCTATGATAATCCCCTCTTCAAGCAACTCACCTTGAACAAGGGTGGTGCAGTCTTGAGGACTCTATACTACTGCGACAACGATAGCTGTTTGCCAACAGAACTTCTGCTCAGGAAGATGCGGCATAGTAGAGGGGCCAGGCTAATTAGAATGGGGTGGTATTTTTATGAGGCAACTGGCAACGACAGTGACAACAAGAAGGGCAACATGACCAAAAACAACAACCACAATCACTAACACAACCACTTCGATGACAACGAGTAGGAGGAGGACGACATCAACCCTACGACTGCCACGGCAACAACAACTGCAACGACCCCAGCGCCGGCAGCAACAACCCCAGCAGCTCAAAGAATAAGTGGCGTCGTCCAGAGACCAAGACGACACGGACAGCCACAAACAGTACCAGCACACACACAAGAACAAGAATAACACCAGCTGCCACAACTGTTGCTGGTGCTGTTGTGCTTACGAATTTCAATACAATTTACTTGTAGCTTCCTCCTACACTTTCCTGATAGGTGGACGGCCTGCGCGCAATTAAACCCTCATTTGTGCCTACCTACCTCCCTACCTGCTTGCCTGCATACCTACCTACGAAAATGGCTCCATGTTTGCATGTATGCATGCACATACCCACACACCCACACATTCCCTTTCTCGCAGCGCAGTCCACTGCAGAGCAGCGCCTTGCAGTGCATTGCGCGACATTCGCACACATATGCATACATGCATCCATGCATGCATGCATGGTTCTGTAGCTGCAACCATAAACAGCGTCGTTATTCAATTGCTTGAGGGATGAAGTTTTCAAGATTCGAGCAAGTGGAATCAAGATGCTGGCAGCAGAGACGGACATGCACTGCATCAATGAAGCGTTCGACGATTCCGCGATTTTTTAGCAAAATGACAGCTTGAAACGTCCATAGAGCCTCGGGGGGCCTGAATGTTGTTTCGTGATGGCTTCTGGCCAATGTGCCGAATGTTGCACACGTCAGAGACTCAGTGGCAAAGATAACCCTAAACCCTAAACCCTTAAAGCCAATGATGACGAGGGTCAGTACTTTGCAGGTCAGCTTCTCCTCGTCTACGAGCTCACCACAAGCACAGCTGCAAACCCTGCCGTGACCAGTCACACCCGCATCTGAATCCTTCCGCAGTCGTTCCTCCAAGGAATCAGATACCTCGGTGCGGAAATTTCGATAGCTGTCCTCCATGCTCTGGAGCATGCGCGAAACGTCCCTGCACTCATAGTGCTTGCATTCCAACGGTTCCGGGGCACAGTCCCTTTCTAGCCCATGCTCGAAGTAGTAGTCGTCCTCGTTGCAATCCACTGCCCAAATAGGGCAGCATATCTTGAGGTCTTCCGGCTTGGTCGCTCGGGAACACATCCGGTCGATGTATCCGTACGTCTTGTTCGTTTCAATGCGAAACCGCTCCTTGGCATGATTTCCCAGCACCTCCGGCGGAGGACCGCACCCGCAGCATTTGCTGCCACTGAAGCGATACTCCTGGGTGTAGACTTTAGAGGGTTTTTGGTTGACGGTTTATATAGGGTTTATAGGTACTCCTGCCCGAAAACAATGAAAAAATTGTGCTTGTTTCTCCGCACCGTGAAAACCCCGAGCCCCAAAGCTGCAAAGCAACAAGCTCTGGAAGAAACCTCAAGAAAAATATACCAAACCCGAAAGCTGTGCCGTGGCAATCTGGGGGCACAGGTGCGTGACTGCGTGGCAAGTCTACTCCCGTCGTGGCGCGGTGGAGTGCGCCACCGTGGGAATCCTTGGCTTCCGACATGCTGTTAGGGTTTAGGGTTTAGGATTTAGGGTTTAGGGTTTAGGATTTAGGGTTTAGGACCCCGAGACCCGGGGTGAAGCAAGCCGACTTGGATACCCGGGTCGCAAAAAAAAAACGAGAGAGGGGAAGCTGCTCGAGAGTGCGCTTTTAAGACATGTTGGGATGATAGACTCTGGGCGTAGGGCCTGTAGTGACTGTAGTGTAGCCTCTGCATTCCAAGAGTCTGTAGGCCGAAGGCTGTGTACCAGAAGAACGGCCAGGTTGGAAAGCCGCACAGCCGCCGCGAATCGAAACATGTTGAAAGACATTTTAGCAAACAACACCTGAGAGCAGAAAACGCGGAGCAGAGGCTCAGTTCCTCAACAGAGCAGAACAAGCAGCGAGCTCAAACGACGTCGGAAAACTGGGAAAGCACCCATCCTCTAGACAGAACAACACCTGTGTCAACTTTAAATGTCTGCAATCTATCCGTCAAGAGTATACTCTCTGCTACGGGATCCGAAAGAACCCTGTCAAATCTGCATGAAACTGGACTGCGCCCGCACCAAAGCCTTTGCGACTGGCTGATCTCTGCCGTGCTAGAGACCCCGAGTACCTCAACGTAAACCTTTGTTGTCTGTAGTAGTATTCGTACGATTCTGATTAATTATGTTTCTGATGATGACCTGAACCCGAAACAACACCCTCAACACCGAAAATCCCTGAAACATGAGCGCGCGCTGTTTCCTTTCTTCGCTTCCCACTTCGCAGGCATCTCCTCTGGTGACGCACCTTCTCCGAAGCGTTGCACCTGCCAGCCCGGCTGACGCTCTAGGCTTCCCTAAACCCTAAACCCTAAACCCCTAAACCCTAAACCCTTAAACCCTAAGCAAAACCTTTGGGCTGCCCCTGGGCTTCAAAGAGCTGTAGATCTGGTCTGGTGGATCACGTGGCAAGAGGAAGTTGAAACCTGGACTCCTAACACCGAACACCCAAACCCCAAAGTTCTTACCCTAAACCCTAAACCCTATTGACTCCTAGCACCGAACACCCAAACCCCTATAAGTTCGTACCCTAAACCCTTAACCCTATGTCAAAGCTGCCTCCTTAACCGGTACACCGTTTTCAACCCTAAACTCTAAACCCTATAGGCCCTAAACCAAAGCTGCCAAGGAACGGCTTTGCTGCAATGGCAGCCACGTCGTTCGGCACCGCCTCACGGGAACTGGGGGACAGTACCCGAAGGATCTTGAGTACCTATATGGCTAGTTCTCTAAAGTAGGGCCTAAGTAGAGTCCCTGTCAGGGTCCTGTTTATCAGGGTGCCGTACTATGTTGGGGACCTAATTATGGACCCTAACTTAGAGAACTACCCATATGGGGGATACTTGCCCAAAGCATGATAGCAATTTCTATTATGCACACTTTCTACTGTACGGGTGCTTAGGAGACTTTAGGGTAGAGGGCGTTGGGGCTCAGGCCTACTTACTTGGCGTGTTGTATAGCGCTAGAACACAAAACCTACCCTGTGGCCCCAAAACAACCAGCAAACGATTCCCTCATCCATCACTCTTGTTAGTGGCTTTAATGTGAGTTGCCATAATAGGGATCTAAAATAAACAATAGGGTTCCTTCTTCTGGTAACTTTAATTGAATTCCTAACAAGAGCCCAATGACACCACATTCAGACTCCAGAGCCTCCCGAATCCAAAGCCCAGACTGCAAACTGAACTCGAGACCCTTGCCCCGACGAAGCATGAAGCTGAGCCTAATGTGTGGGACTTATCCCTTACCCTCAAAGGACTCGTATTTTAAGGCTTTTTGGCCCAAGGACCCTATTATCAAAGGCTTTTGGCTATTTTGATGCTGAGGGTAACGATTAGAATAGGATTTTCGGGTACATTACTCTTTTTAATCATAAGAAGGAACCCTTTAAAATCATGTAGGTAATTATTAAGGCCCCTCTCTTGGTGCAAGGGCCTTAAGAACTCGAAAAGGCTTTGCTTGTATAGTCTAGTATGATTCTCAAGCGACACACAGGCAATACTACGGCTAATTTTTCCCGTATTAGGCCCTTCTTTCGGCCAGCCTGGCCAGACGATTTCATGGATTCGCAAAGGAGCTGTGCATAGGACACGTCCTTCCGAGCACGCGAGTACTCGACATCAACGTCAGGGTGGCATTTGGAAAAGTTCAGGGTCTTGGGGCGACGGCTTTCGGGTTCAGGCAAGGCGGTCCAGAGCTTCAGCGTAGGCTCCTGAAGGCTTGTGTCATCGTCCCTGATGGCCTTGAGAGCTATCTTGAAGTTCACGGGGTTGCGCTTTTGCAGCAGGACATGAAACGACGGATGACATTATCAACAGAAATCTAAAAAGAGTGTGGTTCCAAGAGTCCGGAAGCAGATCGATCCGAAAGGCCCTCTGAACCCAGCGTTTCGAAGACCCCAGAGGTCTTAAATCCCCTGCACTAACATCGCAAGCCAGGGTAAGCCAAAATCCAGACCCGCAATCCCCTCAAAAGATAAACCCAAGTCTCAAACCCAACTGCCTTAAACTTAAACCCTCAAGTTTCTACAAGCCTAAAAGCCCCAAACTCGTAAACCCCAACACTCTCAACCCCGCACCTGGAAACTATCCGAAAACCGAAGAAACCCCCAAGTCAAAAAAAATGATCAACGACTACTAAAGCTCTAACGCCTAGAAAGCCTAAAGTCGTTAACATCCCACTAAAACCCTTCTTAACCCCCCGCGACGCACAGCCATCCTCAGTTCTTACCTTGCTAAACCTAGATCTTCAGTTCCTAAATCCCCAAACTACTAAAATCCCATTAAACCTTCCTTCAGAATGCTAGAACCCGTATACATCCCGTTTGCAACCCTTGGTAAGGACTCCCGAAGCCCTAGACTAGTTTAGGGTTTAGGGCTTAGGGTCCTCAAAAAATTATCATATTCCCGGGACCTCTGAGGAAAACAGGAAAAGAGGAACCCTTCATCTGACCTGTTACACAGCAAACACAGCGACCTTACGAGCCAGAGCATAGGATTGGGAGGTCTTTTTGCGGTTTAGGGCTTTAGGGTTTCAAGGTTTGGGGTTTAGATTTTGAGGGGCTGAGGGAGAATTCTAGTATAGCTGTATGAAGAGACCCCCTTAAGGTACCTTGGGGATGCTTTCACTAGCTATTCTTCACATGGTCAGACTAAGGAATCATGAAGGAACCGTAAGGAATACCAAGCCTCACTATCGTAACTCTGTTTTTGTGTCGAACTCGAGTGCCGGGCGCATCCAAATGATCGTAAATAGCAAGCAAGGCAAGCCCAACATCTGTGGAGCCCTAAACCCGAAACCCTCAGCCCTTAACCCCAATAAGCCTTAAACCCTAAGCCCTAAACCCTGATAAACATTAAATCCTAAGCCCCAAACCCCATATATATATATATATATATTCATTTGAGCCGTATTTCCGGTAGCCTCGGGGCCCAGGAAAGCAAAAGCTCGGCCGCGGCTTGTGCCGCGGCCGCAGCGCCCGATTCGGTGCACATGCCCATCCAAAGAGGCCTGGAGTTCGAGTTTGGGGCTTATAGGGCTTACCTTATCGAGTTTGGGGCTGAAAGGGCCTACCTTAACCCTAGATCACCTACCTTGTCAAGGATTTATATAGAGAAGTGCATAATAAGGAGCCCTGAAAAGGTAGGTTCTCTAGGGTCCAGGTAAGGCTGAGGGTGGGGGTTATGAATTTTGGGTTGAGGGCCTACGGCTTTTGCTTAGGGAGGGGGGGGAGGGTAGGGTTTCGGAATTCTTGGGAACTTTGACGGGTTTAGGGCTTGTACGGGGCCTTCACTACCGGTTCTGATGGTCTTGTAGGACGTTTAAGCGGTGCGTGGTAGGCTGCGAGCTTCTTCATATTCAGGCGCTTCAATAGGGTGCTTTGCACTTGAGGCTGCGTAGGGGGTTAGGCTTTAAGGTTGCATCTGGAGTTCTGGTTGCAGCATTTGGGGTACGCAGGGGACTGATATTCTAGATCCGAAGTGCAAGGGTACTTAATGCTTACCTATACTTTTTTTGGGGACTCCTCATTGTAATTATTGTATTATCCCAAAACCCGCTTCTACTTATTTAGGCCCCTATATTAAGGGAATTTCGTTGTCTGCGGTCTCAGGGTTGAAGGTAAGCCCTAAACCTTAAACCCTGAACCCTAAACCCTAAGCCCTATAAAACCCTAAACCCTAAACCCTAAAAGCCTAAGCCCTAAACCCTAAAACCCTAAGTCCTAAACTTGAAGGTGCTGAGGCTTCCGGTCAGTTCGGGGCGCGGGGACGTTGGGAAAAATCCATGCCGAAGGCTTTGGCTCAAGGGTTACGGCACGGTTTAGGAATTAGGGGTTTATTAGGTTTAGGGTTTCTAGGGAATTAGGGGCTTATTAGGTTTAGGGTTGAGGGGTTTAGGGTTTATTAGGCTTAGGGTTTAGGGGTTTAGGGCTTAATCGGTTTAGGGCTTAGGAGTTTGGGGTTTAGGGGTTTAGGGGTTTAGGGTTTATTAGGTTTAGGGGTTTACGGTCTATCAGGTTTAGGGCTTAGGGGTTTAGGGCGGTTTAGGGTTTAGGGTTACCGAGCTTTCAC